TGTTTTGGTGTAATAGATTATTCATGAAATCAGTCATACATTTTTGGGCAGTGTGAAATTCATAAATGAAAACAATCATATACATTTTTGGCAGTGTGGAATTCATACATGAAAATAGTGTGGAATTCATACATAAAAAGAGCTATACATTTTTTGGGCGGTGTGGAATTCATAGATGAAATTAGTCATACACTTTTTGACAGTGTAGAATTAATACGTGAAATCACTGCCACATAAATCAATGGACATTACACTACAACATGAAATTAAGGAACACAATAATACATTTACATATCGCCGTAAGATATAACAACATATATTCATTCTACACTGCCACATAAAAAACTCACATATAAAAAACTACACTGCCCACTACACAATTACGAGTGAACAACCACACTGCCCAAAATAATCATATTTTTTGGCAGTGAATAATGAACATATATTGTTTAATTAAAGGACAAAATCGGAATTACATGTATGAAACATATAGCATTGCTATTTAGAGTATTTTAATGTTCTTAGAGTGCTATTTTGGTTTTTCTCCCATTTCCTAATGTAGGACTTAAACTTTTTTATTCTCTAAATAGGACTTAATAATGACTAGTGAGAAAAATAATGTCCAAGTAATGCTGGACATTTAGTTGAATAATGACTAAGATGGTGTTTGGTAGTGATTAATTTATGGATAAAGTGATTTTCACAAAAGCTGAAATTAAAGCAAAAGAAGCTCATTATTACTTCTCTAAAACGGTGTTTTATGTACAAAATAGTGGTGGAGAAAAGAAAAAGCTGACATGCCAAACAGAGTAAAATTACTTCTTTTCAAAGCATAAGCTAAATTCTGAAAAGTAGCGCACTCCCAAACATCCTCTAATAGATAATGACCAATAGTCGTACATTAGAAAATAAAAACATATGTTCCTATATCGAGAAAGTCATTATGTTTTATTTCTATTTAGCTAAATAACCCAATAATATCTATACGATTTTGGTTTTTGAATTGGTTTTTCGAAAGTCGGATACAATTATACCTGTTCTTTATTAGACGTGCTATTTCATCTAGATTCTCGATTTTACTCGTATATTGAAATATTTGTAAAAGTTACTCTCTATTTTAATTAGCTTTTTTATAAACTTTATGCGTTATGCAGTACCTTTTCTCTTCTTTTTTTTAATAGCTTTTTTGCATTTTCATCCCACAATGTCAAACTTTTTTGGCAGGCCCACAATGTCAAATTGTTTATTCTTTTTGTGTGGCAATGCATCTCCTTTTACACTCATTTTTATTTAGCTTTGAAATGAACATTTTTGCGTTCCTAAATCATTTACTCCCCGTCCCTAAATATTTGCCACATTTGTATTTCTGAGGCAAAATATCAAGTTTTTTCAATTCATTTTATTTACATATTGGTATGAAAATAAAAAATAAAATTTAGATATAAAAAAACTACATGAAAAGTTCTTCAAAATAAGAGGTGTCAAAAATATTTTATTTTATCAAATAACCAATGAAAACATAGAAATAAATAAAAGTTCCCGCGACTGCTGAAAAAGCAAACGTTGCAAATATTTTGGGACGGAGGGAGTACTTTTTACGTAAAACAAAGTGAAATTTTAAATTTCTCAATTTATTTTATTTAAAGATTGGTATATGAATTAAAAATAAAATTTACATATTCAAAAAGTATATCAAAAATTCTACCTAACCGGAGGTGAAAAAAATATTTTATTTCATCAAATAATCACCAAA